AAAATCAAAGTCTCCTACAGGTTTTATTATTATTATTATTATCACCTTGCTTACCGAGGGAAACGTAAGACTTCAATAGCACATCTCGTATTCTCCGCTTTCCCCTTTTATCTGAACCCGCAATCGGCCCCCGTAGTATCTGATTTCCTCTTCACACGACCTATCCATCTCCTATTTCTCCGGAATATTCTCTTAGCAATACGTTCTTGGTTGTTTAGTTCTCAGAGTTTCTTGGTGTGACAGACAACAATCAGCATAAATGGGAGGAACCTGAAAGAACCTCCTTTACCACCTACCTGGGAAGCATCGTTTCAACTACAGGAGAATGGAACTGACGAGGATATCAAAGCAAGAATCATAAGAAAAGCAAGACAAGCTTTCGTTACTCTCAAGTCTGTGTGGAGGTCAACAGCACTCAGCATCAAAAGTAAGATTCGGATTTTCAACTCCAATGTGAAGTCAGTCAGTGCTACTATACGGATCAGAGACTTGCACTGCGCGTCACAAAGAGCATCTTGAACAAACTACACACCTTCATTAACAGTTGTCTTCACTCAATACTCAAGATCAGATGGCCAGCCGGCCAGAAAAGATCAGCAACAGAGATCTCTGGCAATGAGCGAACCAACCCAGCAGGAACCGATTGTGAAACAAATAGGTTGGAAGAAATGGAGATGGATTGGCTGGTCATACTCTGAGGAAACAATCCATCAAGTGACATCACTAGACAAGCCATTGCTCGAGTGGAACCCGAAAGGGAATCGGCGAGTTGGTCGTCAGTGCGAAGGTGTGGTGACTTGGAGGAGGTGATGTGAAGAGGAGATGAAAACGTGTGGGCAGACTTGGAGCCAGGTGAAGACTGTAGCAGAGAACCGAACGCAATGGAGACGCACGGTTGAAGCCCTATGTTCCTCTAGGAATTAAAGGAAATAATAATAATAATGGAGCCAGCAAAGGTGGCAGCTGTTGATGAAAGTCTGCACAGCAGACTGTTGGAAATCCTTTTCATCACACACACACAGTGCAACTTTTTGACATTAATGTTGAAAATCTGAATTTTTGTTTCTAATCTGCTGAGTGCAGAAGATTTCCAAACTGATTTTAGGTTGATGAAAGCATATCTTGCCCTGTCTTTCCGACTTCTAGCTGGCCAGCTTGGACATCTTCATCCGTTTGGCGTGTGCCTTTAGTGGAAATGTTGCTTCCTAGCCGGATAAGTGAGAAGGTAACCTCTGTCGAATCTCTCCCATTGATGGTTGATGATTGGTGCTGGTTGTTGCTGCTGTTGGTTGGTTGGTTGGTTATTTTCATCACCTTCGCCTTCCCTCTGTTCACCTGGAATCCTGTCTTCGCTGCCCGCCTGCTCAGACAGTTTGTTGGTTTCCCTCTGCAAGTCTCTGACTTTGTGTGACACTTGCATAAGTCATCCACGTGCGAAATCCAGATCCTTCAGAGTCTTCTTATCGATCAGTGCCAGTGTATTGCTGTTTTCTCACTCCCTGTGCACAGCCTAACGCGTAATCCAGTCCACCACAATTAGGAATATCATCGGTGTTAATAAGCAGTCAGTCTTGTCTTACTCCTGTATTCACTTCGAACGACTCGCTTAGTGAGTTTCTCGTTGTAGATCGCCTGACACACGTACCACTGTATTGTATAGCTATTGAATGAGGTTGATAAAGACTAGAGGTACGCCGTAGTGTTGAAGTAGTTTCCAAATTACTTCTCGGTCAACGTTGTCAGAGCCGTTGCCTTTTCGAAGTCGTACAGGTACAGGTTTGACTGCCATTCTGTGCTTTGTTCGATGATGATGATGACGATGCGTAGAGTTTCAATTTGATGATTAGTACATGATTAGCCTTTCTGTATCTAGTGCATCCTTTATTCTCTCCAGGATGATGCAACTTAGTATTTTACTTGGCGTGAGTGGATAAGAGCATTATTCCTGGTCAATTCTTGCAGAGGCCTAGCTAGCTCGGCCTTCTTTGGCAGCTTGACGCGGTAGCTTTTTTTCCAATCGGTAGGTATCTTTCCTTCTTCCCAAACCTCTTGCAGTTAAGACGTAAGCACATCTGCCGCAGTCTGTGGGTCCATTTTCAGTGCTTCGAGGGAATTCCGTTTGGGCATTCCTGATGCATTTCTGGACTTCAGTAGCTTGATAGAATTTAGGATTTCTCCTTCCGTTGGAGGTTTGGTGTCCACTGGCAGGCAGTTAGTTCCGTGTGTGATGTTGATGGTATTGCTGTTTCTGGGGGAGTGTTGCAGGTGAAAATGTTCGATTCAAGAGTCCTTTAAAGTGATCAACCTGTTCTGCTTCAATTGCTGGCCAGTATGTCATAGAATTTTGTCTTTTGTCTTTCCTAGCACTCTTCTGTGTATGGCTTTATTCTGTATACAGTGTACACCGCGAAACTCAGCTTCTCCTTCTCTTGTCCATATTTGCATTAAGTCATCTTCTCTCCCTCTCTTTCACCATCCTCCTCTCCTCTTTTCTATTAGCTTCCAGTTAGGTGTTTAATATAACTACACTCTAGTAAAGCAATTAGTAGCAGTATTAAAGAGCGAAACGTCAGTAGAAACAAAAATAACAATATCGTTTTGTTTTTCATTCATTGGGAAATACAAAAATTTGTTTTATAACAATGAATGAATACAATTCAACTGGTTCGCATTTTTTGGTTTTGCTCAGTAAAATCCATTCGTGTTTATATTATCTGTTCAGTTTTTTTTTACAAGAATGTAATATAGAAAAAATCCCCATTTAGATATTTAGAAAACAGAAAGATTGAACGAAGAAATATTTACTTTTCAATTAGATCCTCATCTCACTCTGGCTCTACTCTAATATATACGTATAGCATTTTTACTACAGTACACAACAATTTATCAATCAAGGGGCTCTGATATGTTTGTTAACAATAATTAAACAGTGTCTAAGTGTCAATGGGTTGATAATTAACGAAGAAAATTAATACACACAACTAAAAGGTAGAAATGGTTAGAATAAATTAATTTTACAAGGATAACACGTAATTAAAGATGAAGTGGTCAGAAAAATGATAAAATAATTTGGACAATTATAATTTTTATAGGTTTAGGGAGAGGGGGGCGACGTAGTCCTGTCTTGTAACGATGGCCACGGTAAAAAAAGTGGCTGTACAAATTTCTTCTGTACACATAGGCTTGGTTTCCTCAGGTGGATTCCGATTGCTTCAGCTGTCTATAGAAGACGAAGTCGTAGAGCAAAGTTAAGATTAGTCGGAATGCGATAAATAATTTTAAATACAGTATTCACATCAACCTTGTGCTCAGTATCAACAAGGTGTGCTAAAATAGAACTACGAATGGATCTTGTTTGTCCCTTGCTTAACCATGCTGGATGATGTTCGGAAATGCGACGATGAACCTGCGTAATTGTACGCCCAATGTATCTGGCTCCGCAGCTGCAGTCAAATTGGTAGATACACATAGAAGAGGCAAATTTAGGTAGTGTATCCTTATTTCTCGAACATAGAATAGGGGTGGTTGTGAAGAGACAACGTACCTCTGCTGCATAATAAGCTCTTTTAACTGCATTCTTCAAGTGCTGTGTTATGATTTCGCTGATGTTGTCACCGAGGAACTGCAATTTTATGAACAGTGGTTTTTTCGAAACTGTAGCAACACTGACTCTCCTTGGTGCTGAATTCATATTCTTCTCAATAAATTTATCTGGATAAGCATTTTTTTCTAAGTAATTCTTTAATAATCTTAAGCTCCTCATTGAGGTAGTCGTCTGAACAGATTAACGTAGCTCTATGAACTAGACACTTTACCAGGTTACGTTTATATTTCAAAGGTACAAAACTCAAAAAATGAGTATACTGACCTGTTGTTGTAGGTTTCCTATACACACTCTACTTGTCTGGTAAACTGTTGTGTATTGGAATAAAAATGCTATTTATATATATTAGAGTAGAGCCAGAGATGAAGAATGTAATAGTTTCCTAATTTCATTATAAGTTTTGTTATGAATAAATTTGAAAAAGAGAAGACATTCAGCGAAGAGACTCTTTTCGGCGAATTCATTCACATAGCTGTACAATCGCATTTATATATAAATATTTGTGTGTGTGTGTGTACATGAGGTTTGTCAAGTTTAGATAATTGATTAGTTAATGCAAGAATGATGTAGTATAGAGACAAAGTTAATCAGACAGCAACTAAAGTAAGACTGAGTTAAAAAACTAGATGACGTAATATAATTGGCTAAAATGTTACAACTTAGGTCAGGATAGCAACAGAGGTAATTACAGGTAGAGATTAAGTAGAAGTAAAATTGAGTGAGTAAGTTGGATGACGTAACATGAATGACTAAAAACTGAGCGTTGTTCAAGTCAGTAACAGTGGTAGTGGGGTGTAGAGATTGAATCGGGTGGGGGTAAAGAACAAGAAAGTTGAAAATGTAAAATGTTACAATTGAGAAGACAAAATAATACTAATGAAGAGATAAAAGAAAAGATTAGGTAGAATTTACATGTCGGCTAGTAAGATAGATTACGTCCATTGCAAGTGTAGTGATTGAACGAACTTCTTCTGTATGCAGAGTTCAGGACTTAGCAAGTGAATTGCCATTGCTTCTGCAGTTTGAAGAAGTCTGATTCGTACACCTTTAGGAAGACTACTTCTTACTCTGTAGACGACTTTGAAGTTTGTTTGCGGTGTAGCTTGGTGTCCGGATTCTATCAGATGTTCTAAGATGGAACTGCGGGGGCATCGATTTTCTCCTTTGTAAAACCATGCTGGTAAGTGCTCGGTGATACGTTTGGAAAGCGAGCGCTGGGTACGGCCGACAATGGAGATTTTATAAATTTTTTTAATTTTTATAAATTTTTATATAATTTATAAATTTTATAAATTTTTATAAATTTCGCATTCTATGTTTTTTCATTTCTTTTTCCTTGTTGCTAATGCCTCATTTTTTTATTTTAAAAAATTTTTGGATTCCCCTCCCCTTTTAGAATTCCCCACCAGCTCCTGGTCAAGTTCCTATCGAAACAGAACTACATGGTTATGCTAAAGTACTTATTCGAATTATTGGTACACCAACAGCATCGTAAAACTTATTTTTGTGTGACAGACTTTATTATTATTATTCATACTGTCGTCAAGATGGTGTGCGCGTGCGTATGTATGTGTCCATGCTTCCCAACAGATACTTGTATTCTCTCCTTATTTAAACACTCTTTTTTCTCTAATATTAATATTATTACGTAATTTCTGTTTTTTTCTTCTGTGTCGCTTTTGTGTTTTAACCCCTCTCCTTATTTCATGTTCCTTCAGAGGAAATTCACATGCTGACGTGTTTCTCTTCTCTATTTTCGCCTTGCTCTCTCTCTCTCTCTCTCTGTATCCCCCGGCGTCTTTCTTCACTCCTCTTTCATATCTGTCTACCTAATGCCAGACATAAACAAACGCACACAATAAGAGGTATATATACAAACACGCTTTTCGGCCCTATATATACATATATATCACTCATCATTGTATACATGTAAAGTTATGCAATACCTCCAATGCAAATAAATTAACACTTGTTGTTAAGCTTGAATGATTATTATGCCTATAAGTGCTACTACTACTACTACTACTACTACTATTATTATTATTATTATTATACTACTCCTCCAGAAAATGACGTATATATATTCAAAGAGATCTAGTTGTCTTCCCCTTATCTACTCTCTTTCTCTCCCTCTCTTTCTCTGTTAGTCTTTGTGTTCGCAGACTTCATAAATAGCGTCAGCTAGATGCTGTTTACATTATTACTATTATTTATTATTATTATTATTATTGTCTATTCTCTTATTTTTGTAATGTTGCCGCCTTTGTGTGCTCCTCCGCCTACGATGTGACGATGCTGCCGACTGAAACACTCCTGCTACACAACTCCATGTGTACACGCCTTCTCCTCCTCCTATTCCGATCATCTTTTTTTGATATATTCGCCTTCAATATATATATAATCCTCTTCCCTTTAATTGGGTTAGTGGGGGGGATGCTTAACTTTATATTGCTGTTATATATATATATATATATATATATATATATATATACGTATATCCTATTATTAATATTGTTAAAGTGACTGCTTTTTCTCCTTGTCTTTTATTTTTCCTTTGAGAAAAATTTATTTCGCGAAATATACCCATTAAGACATTGAAATAAGAACAAATTAGTTCAGCGAAGAGTCCCCTTTTCGGCGAATTCATTCACTTAGCTGTACAGTCGCAAATATATATACAATTATTTTGTGTGTGTGTGTGTGTGTACATTAGGTTTGTCAAAATCAAAATAACAGTTAGTGTGGGTTGTTGATTACATCATCAAAATAATTAAGAAATTAAAATGTGTGATTAATAATCAAAGTTGTAACTAAGTGGGGTGAAGATTGGTAAGATGTGAGTGAGTAGGGTTACGTAATATAGACATGTTTAGAAAGATTAGATGTTAGTGAAGGAGTATGGAGACAATTATGAAAATAAACTAGATAATAGGTGAAAAGATTGAATGAATGGGTTAGTTACTAAAAATTGTTATACGAAAAATTGCACAAAATTTGATAACAAATTTATTTATTTGGGGTGGAGGATGGTAATTACATTATATGGGTGTTGGTGTGTGTGTGTGTGGCGAGGGGGGGCGCAGGGGCAAGCTACTTGCTTTCACCATCTCCCTCGATAGATTTCTCTATCTTGGAAATATACACGCGCAGACGCACTTCTGTTGACACACACATAGAGATGGAAAGAGAAATGCTTGTAACATGGTGTATATGTAGAAAGACTTTGCGTAGAAACATAAACGAGAAGGTGAATCAAACTCAGAGAGAAGATTGATTGTGTAGAAGAAGAAGAAGAAGAATGAGAAGGCTGTTTTGATGTACAACTGTAAAGAAGACAAGACTTGGAGACTGAAAGGAATGTTTACTTGAGGAAACGTATGGTACATAGCTAAATTTGGAATACCATATTCTCAACCGGCCATTTGCACATCTTTACCACATTCTTGACGAATCGGTCGAATATCGTCTCATTCGATAGCTTCTTGGATTCTGCATCATATGGCAACATTCTTCTCATGGTACTTTTCTTTGATTGCTCTTTCCAGTGTGCCAAACATATTGTTACTTCGTTTCTGATATACTACTTATATCGGATTATAAGTAGCACTCACCACACAACCTGCATTTTATTGCTCTTGTAAAAACACAAAACAAAGATGCTTTCTGCGTCTTCTTTGTTGTTGAATAACGTGTGTGTGTGTGTGTGTGTGTTAGTTTTTGCCTTCCATTGGGAATGTGTGCGTCATCTATTGAATCCCTTATTAGTATTAGTACTACTTGCATTGGTTGATTTAGCAGTATGGTTTAGGTTGAGGTGGATGGGGAGGGGCTAGAGAAGGGGTGGGTGGGTCTGTTTTCGACGTAGAACTTTGCACCGATGTGCAGCAGTTCAAGTCGCCACACTCCATGTAGCACACAAAGCAACAGAAGGAATGCATAATATAGACAGTAAACAGAGGTGTGAGACAAAGGAGTAGTAATAACGAAGAGCAAAACAGTTTCATTGGAAATCATAAGTCACAAGGAGTGGATGCATCTGCACCAGCCATTGAGAACGATTTTTGAGCCATATCACCAATTGTCTCCAGCCATCATTGTTTCTTTTCGTCCCGAGGACCCCAACCAGGAAGTCAGGAAGCCTACACCTTCCTACGTGGCTTAAGCTAACTAAGTGTTGTGGATTTCATTGACTGATGCGGCCATGTTTTGGTTTGACCACCGCTAGCTCTTTTCCAGCCTGACTCTATGTCAGTTAACATTGCCTGTCGTTGAGGAAGGCGATGACTAGGCATACATAACACATGTCAATGTAATTTCACAGCCATGTTGATTGATTTCCCCTCCTTACCTAGAACTTAACCAATGCCTAACCTCAATATTCCTCACCTCACCTGGTGGGGGGTGGGTATAGTTAACAAATATTGTTTTGCAGTCGGTATGTTGTTATATTCTGTATAGGTGGTGATTCCTATTTCTTGTATAATTTGAGCTTTTCTCTACTTTGATTGTTGAAGATGGTTTTGTATCTTCTGAAGAATACTGGCGATGATGATGATTGTAACGATAATGATAAAAATACACCTATAGTCAAAGTGGGATAGTTTGTCTTTTGTTTGACTTCGGTCCCCCCGCCCACCTAATTTTTTTTACTGATTGTATGTTAATATGTGTGCCAAACTATTGGCAAATCACATTGTCGAAGAATATTCGATAAAATAGGCGATGTGAGTGAGAAAAATTTAGATACTGATTGGATATATACAAGAAAAGAGACAAGTATTAGTGTGATAATCACATAGGGAGATTAGCTTGAGTAATGTAGGTTGAAATAATCATGCGTAGATTAAGTGATGCTCGGGAAAATAATAATAATCTACTTTATTCCAAAAACAGTACTTATAATACAGAATGGAATTCCCAGCATTTGTCACAATATTCCATCTGATTTACTCAAAATATAAATAATGTTAAAATTTAAAACAAAACTAGTCGGAGGAATTTGTCCACATTTACGACATAATTATTAGATATAATAATAATAATAACAGTGAGTTTGTTTCAAACGGTATTGTCGATTCAGTTTGGGAACTTTAGCATGTTATAGATTATTGGGTCTAATGTTCTGTTGATATGGTATAGTGAGGGGAAATACAAAATTAACAGTTATAATACTGCTTAAAATTATGTCCACACTTATGAGAAAAACAAACAAAACGAAAAAATTGAGAGGATTATAAGTGTAAGAAATAAAATGATGGTTTAAGGGTGAAGGAAATGGTTTATTTAGTGGTGAAAAGAAGGTTAGTTGGTTAGTTCATGCCTGACACTATTTTCATCACATAAAGTACGGGCCAAATATGGTATAGTGAAATTTTTATACCTAGACGTACGTGCATAAAGTCTTCTAAAATGACTTCTTATTTTACCTGAGGAGACACAAGGTTGGAGCTGCGGGTAGAGTGGGTGGTCAGAGTGTGACGAAATTCCTTTAGCGAATTTGTTGCATGACAACACGAGACAATCAGGTAGGCTTTAGACTCTAGGAAGAGGGTGTATTGTGTGTTCATATCTTCACCTTTCGACAGATTTTTCAATATAGGCGTACCTACTGGCGTCCAACAATTGCGATATATCTCTTGACATGAAAGCGGCATTTGATTCCGTCGACCAAGAGGTACTCTATGGCAACACTTACATTAATTGACCTTAACTGGATTCACCGACTCAGGGATTGACTTGTTACCACCAGGGAATAATAGTCCCGTTGACATAGAATATGCACATGATATAGTCCTCCTAGATGAAGACGCTAACAAAATAGAATCTGCTTCTGAACGCCTCCTTGAGGGGCAGCAATCTTTAAATGTTTGGAATGCGATTCGTGCTCTCCTGCTGTCAAATGTAGGATGATGATGCTCCAGGACTGGATTACATTTGTAACAACAGAAGACAAGGGCCAGGCAACAGATCAGTTTTATTACGAAAACCAACAGGTATTTATATGTATTTTACGTACATTGCCAGAGATCCCTCACTATTGCCGATCTTTTCTGGCCGACTGGTCATCTGATCTTGAGTATTGAGCGAAGACAACTGTTGATGAAGGTCTGTAGTTTGTTTGAGATGCTCTTTATGACGCGCAGTGCAAGTCTCTGATCCGTATAGTGAGTAGCACTGACTGACTTCACATTGGAGTTGAAAATCCGGATGTTATTTTTGATGGTGAGTGCTGTTGACCTCCACACAGACTTGAGAGTAGTGAAAGCTTGTCTTGCTTTTCCGATCCTTGCTTTGATATCCTCGTCAGTTCCGTCGGCCTGTAGTTGAAACGATGCTTCCCAGCTAGGTAGGTAGGTGAAGGAGGTTGTTTCTTTCAGGTTCCTCCCATTTATGCTGATTGTTGTCAGTTGTTGTTGTTGCTGTTGGAGGTGTTGCCCAGGAATCTTCATCACCTCTGTTTTATCTATGTTCACCTGAAGTCCTATCTTTGCTGCT